TCAGCAGTGCCTACTAGGTCGAGTCACAGCTACAGACTTGGGTGTCTTATTTATCGGGTTACCGAGCACTCACGGGGTTAACGTAGTGAACACAACAGGAACTCAGCCATTTCCTAAGATCAAGGGTATTCAGGTAAAGATACCGATAGACGAATCTGTATCACCAGTATGTCAACAACCTAGGCGGCCTCCCATCGCACTCATGACGAAAGTTGAAGATAAATTGAATTCGCTTCTGGTTCGGGATATAATAGAGCGTGTTGAAGGTGGCTGTTCTTGGGGCTCTCCGTTGGTTACAGTGGTTAAAGACAACGGGGATCTTCGCTTATGCGTGGATATGCGCAGAGCAAACGCAGCAATTTTGCGGGAACGACACATTATGCCAACAATAGAGGATTTTTTTTACCAAGATTCACGTCTGCAAAGTGGTTCAGCCGGCTCGATGTCAAAGAAGCGTTTCATCAGGTTGAGCTTGATAGCGAAAGTCGGTACATAACCACATTCATAACTCACATGGGCCTCTTTCGATACAAGCGTCTTATGTACGGCGTAGCTTGTGCCCCAGAGCTATTTCAAAGAATCCTTGAGCAAATTCTGAGTTCCTATAGCAAGAATGTGGTTAACTTCATTGACGACATTCTAATTTTTGCCAGCACGGAACAAGAACACGATGAAGTGCTCAAAGCAGTATTGTCTACGTTGAATGAATATGGAATACTGTTGAATCAGAGTAAACGCGTGTTCAAGGTTTCTGAATTGGAATTTTTAGGGCATGTCATATCTTGTGACGGCATCTACCCTTCGAACAGTAAAGTTGAATCCCTCCAAAGATTTCGAGCACCTACAACTTCGGAGGAGGTCCGGAGTTTCCTTGGCTTGGTGACGTACATCGGTCGGTTTCTGCCAAACCTAGCAACGATTACCGCTCCACTACGAGAGTTAACTCACTCTGGGGTTAAATTTACCTGGGGCAAAGAACAACAGGTATCTTTCGCAAAGCTTAAAGAGATGATAGGGAACGTACAACACTTGCGATTCTTTGACAACATGTTGCGGACAAGGGTTATCGCTGATGCCTCACCTGTGGCTCTCGGAGCAGTTCTTTTGAAGGATCCACCGACGATGATCCTCGACCAATTGCTTATGCCAGCAAAAGTCTGACAATCACAGAGAAACGCTATTGTCAGACGGAAAAAGAAGCTCTGGCGCTGGTCTGGGCCGTGGAGCGTTTTTCCGTCTATCTTCTGGGACGCAAGTTTGAGCTGGAAACGGACCACAAACCCTTAGAGGCGATTTTCAAACCCACCTCTAGACCATGTGCGCGGATTGAACGGTGGGTGCTTAGGCTCCAGTCATTTTCGTTTATAGTCAAATATCGGAAAGGCACTAGTAATGTGGCAGATCCAATATCATGATTGGTTGAGGAGCAACCACCGGAAGAGTTTGACCCTGAAAGCAAATTTATGGTGCTAGCGGTTCTGGAATCAGCGGCAATTGACGTGCAGCAGCTTGAAGAGATGACCAGCACAGACGCGACTTTGGAGGCCGTAAAGCAGTGCTTACGCACCGGAAATTGGGATGCACAACAAGCAAAGTCATTTGCTCCTTTCAAGAACGAATTGGAGTTCGTCGGAGACCTGGTAGTCAGGGGAAACAAGCTGGTTGTTCCGGAATGCTTGCGATCACGAATGCTAGACCTGGCTCATGAGGGTCACCCGGGCGAATTGGTGATGAAACGACGATTGCGTGACCGAGTTTGGTGGCAATGACTTCTCCCGTCGACTTGTTTTTGATCACAAACGACTCTCTCGTGAAATTCACGCAATAACCTTTCTTGCAAATGCAACTCACAGATAGAAGATTCACTTCATCGGTGGATTCACTGCGAGTTCTGGAACACAAAAATTTTTAGAAACATCTAGGCTACAGCACTCACCATCCACAACATCGTCTAGCTCGACATTAATGACCAAGAAAGTCGACGAAAAGAATCTGTCAGTGTTACTTAGAACCTAATGCAATGTTCAGCTTGATTTAGGAACCGCGTAAAGCATTAAGCATTATGCATTATGCATTTTGCATTATTGGGCCTCATAATAGCCTAGTCAGTATAAAGGCACGGTATTACCAAACCGGAGGCGATGGGTTCGATTCCCGGTCTGCTCGAGGGAATCTTTCGGGTTGGAAATTTTCTCGACTTCCCCGGGCATTGAGTATCATTGTTCTTGCCACATAATATACAAATTCATGCATTGGTATTGGCATCGAAAGCTCTCAACTAATAACTGTGAAAGTGCATTTCTAGATAGAGCTGGAATTAGGGCGAAACAGCTTTTGTAAACAATGACTTCTATAATCGATTTCTAGGAACTCAACACTCACCCACGCAAACTTACATAACCGTCGGGTAGGGGAAGTTTCCTCTTCCCGATGGTGTTGTTGATTTACGTTGACGAGTCTTAACTTTCTAAGAATCATCGAAAGAAGCCATTAGGGCTGTTAAGCCCTAATTCCAGCTTATTGTTTAGTGCATATTAGCAATAACCTAATATGCACTAAGCAATAAGCTTGAAATGTGAATAAGAAGAAGAAGAAGAAGAAGAAGTAAAGCATAAAGCACTCTAGTAAAAGTATGGACGACAACCACTAAACTGAAAAAAGTTGTTCCAATCGAACAAAGCAGCGCATTTTGCCGGTTTTGATTGGAACAACTCATAACAGACGTCCATGCTTGGACATTAGTAAACCATGGTGCTGGCACGGTAATCGGAACATAAATTTGAGTGAAATTCAACGGTCGTGTAAGGAGATACATACATTCAGGCGCTCTCCGAGATAAATATCACATCTAGATAGAGCTGGAATTAGGGCGTAACAGCTTTTGTAAACAATGATTCTCGCGATGATTTCTAGGAATTCAAGGCACACCCACGCAAACCAACAAAACCGTCGGGTAGGGGACGACTTCTCCTATCCGATGAAAATGATGGTTTGCATGGGCGAGTCTTGACTTTTTAGAAATCATCGAGAAAAGTCATTGTTTACAAAAGCTGTTACGCCCTAATTCCAGCTCTGTCTAGACATGTGGTTCACAAGAAACTTTGATGCACAATCAAAGCAAAAGTATGGACGTCTGTCATTAGTTGTTCCAATTTAGAGATGGGCGATCCGCTCCCAAGCTGTTCTAAAGACCCGATTCACTATAGTGAGCTGATGACCCGCGGTTCATATTTTAGGAAACGGAGCTCATCAGCTCATTGATATCACAAGTCCAAATCGTTCAATCCGTTACTTATAACGGAAGTTTTCAAAAAAGGACTCATTACTGCTCTTACGCATTTACGCGTAAACCAGATGCACGCGTAATACAACATGTGCATACTGATCGATAGCATCAACGGTAAAAAAGCAAACTTCCATGCGGCCCATACAGCGATACAGATATGCATGTGAGGGGGTAAGAAGGAAAGGGATGTAACTGACTTTGCTCGATTATCTTCATCGACTTTCTCTTTTGATAGCCACAGCTTTATAAACAGATTTTGCGCTATTTCTGACACATAGTTTGGTAAAGGAGGTTCTCATCTAGCATTCAGAATGGCACACGAATCAAGGAATTCGATTGATAGAATCGATCAAAGTCACTTACACCCCTTTCCCTCTAACCCCCTCATGTGTTACACGATGTTAAATTTCTACTGGTATTATCCAATACATTAACGTACCTGGCTCTTATTGCTGATGTTATTCCTCCAGCATATGTGTTCTCACCTCGCCTCCCATCAATCTATGGGGAGTGGAAGATCCGCACAAAAGCAAATAACCGAAATGCAGCTCGCCACCTCACAACTCACATCCGGATCCGAATCATTCACTGGGAGCTGTTTAGGATGATAACTCTCGGACCCGTCCAGCTCTCGGATCCATCCAACTCGTCGGATCTTTTTTTTCTCGATCCTTCACGATTCAGCTCCGGATCCGGATCTGAGCTGACTATCTGGAACTGAAGCCTAGAATAGTGAGAGGAATTCTAATGGAGAATTAACATCAGCAATAAAATCTGTATGTAGGCTGGATTGCATAGCATGAGAGATAGGTATAGCTCTCTTACATACATTTTTTTTATTTGACTGATGTGTTGTTCGCACATTTTGGTTAGTGGCGATTTCAATTGAAATGTAGATATTTATTGGTTGAGACCACTTTTACTACTGTATGTAGTTTTAAGCTTAGAGTTACCAAAAACCACATATTTTTACGATTTTAAGTTTGTGTCAAAATTTCTATAATTCAAATGTGAGCTAAAGAGCTGTTCAAAAGAATCGGCTCCTATTAGTGAGCTGGACGGGTCTGATCCGATTAGTTACCCATTAATGAATAACACTTACTCATTAATGAGTAAAAAAAAAAATCTCATGGGTTAAGCCACTTTCTTCTAAATGAGTCTTTTTTACAAGTTAGTGTGCACCTCATCTTGATATATCAAGCCGGCCAATCCATTAGGCTCTAAGTAACATTAACCGATTCTCACCATCTCTTTTGTTAATAGCTTGGCTATCAAAACGATTCTTGTCGTCTTTGGCGTATTAGATACTAGGTAATCGATTCTTTCAATAAAGTGAGTTGAAAATAGCTGGAAATGACTTACAATGACAAAGGGAAAATTGACGAAGAGAATTTGCCAATAATACTTAGGACCTACTAATCCATTGTTCGGCTTAATATGCAAAACCTTAATGTTTGCGCCTAAATGTATCTTGCCTATTGCAGCCAAATACATAGGTATAGAGAGAGACTCTAAAACGGGACGAAGCTGCAAATAATAACTATGAACTTTGCATGACGATTTGCTAAGCTTAGAATGAATATCTCTAAATTCGTACTAAAAGAAATGATATTACTAAAGTCAACATTTATTCGCAAATTTAGCTCCGTCCAACCAAGGCCTTTTTCAGTAATGTCGCCAAACGAGAGCGAATTCAGTTCATGCAAATAAACCCTGCCTAGCAATATAAATAAAAAGTTATAGTTATAGTAAACGTGTGGTGAAATTATATCTTGAAAACAGTTACATTACAAAGCGAACACTTTCACTTCTCCCCGCCATAGTACAAACATGTACCCACATCGAATCAAGCTTAAACAATCACAATCAATATTCTCAAGGTGACAGGACGCCGTTTGAAGTAGAACAAATTTCAAACAAAATCCGCTTCGTCAGACTACTCCCTCCGTAGATTGTCCAGACGAGCCTGCAGATCGGCATCGGCATCCGACACGGGAGAACCAGCTCCTGAACCCCCGGCTGCACCGCCAGCTCCAACGGCAGCAGCCTGAGGAGCTTTCACACCACCAGCCACCGCCAGCGAACCGGAAGCCTAAAATCAATCATGAATACAATCCCACTCAAACCAACAGTAAAACCAAAAACGAACCTGTGGCAATCCGGACAGCTGATCGTTCAGCTGCAGACCCAACTCATCCAGAACCTGCGAGACAATGGCATCAGTTTCCTCCTCGTCCCCTTCGTCTTCCATTGCGTCGTCCATCGCGTCGTTGATCATTTCTTCCTTCATGTCCATTATTTCCGACTGCTTTTCGAATTCGTGCAGGATCTTCTGAATCTGTGGCAAATTGAGCTGCCGGTTCATGTTGCTCATCGCTTTCGTAACACCCTTCATCGCTTCTCCCATGGCGTTTTGCGATTTGAGTGTCTGAATCTTCAGCGAAACTGCCTGGATGTTGGCCTTCATTAGCATAAACTTCCGGACGTACCGTCGCGTCCGGACCAGATCCTTGGCCATAATCTTGACCGCATCCATCTGATTTTCTTTGGCCAGCTTTTTGATGTCGGCGATGATCTTCTTTTCCTGCTGTTCCATTTTCATCTTTTCCCGATCCAAATCCCGCATCGCTTTATTCAGAGCCCGCTGGTTCTTGCGCATCATCTCGTCCGGGGACATTTTCTTACCGAACAGCCACTCCATTTTGCTGGTTGCTTTCCGGATCGAATAGTGGTAAAACTGGTGAAATAAAGCGGAACTTCGGTGGTCTCACAAGGTAATATTGCAAAAAATTGGATTCTAATTTGTTTTTCGGATCTGACTCATCCGATAAAAAAAACAGCAATAACAAAAGAGAAACAACATTGATTTGACAGCTGGAAAGTGCGGATGACCTTCCACGATTCTAGAGCTCACTTTGCGAGAGACCGGCGCAATTTAGTTTTTCGACCACCAAATCCGACAGATGTCGGATGGTGAATAAAAATGAACTCCGTTAATGTGCTTGAAGTGTCGTTCAGATTAAGGGGGTAAATCACAGCAAAAAAAATGTAATATCAATCAACGTAATTCAAACTGATGTATGAAATAATGATGTAATAGCAAAAAGCAGATACAATATTACATCAATGGATGTAATTTTGTTCGCAAAATCGATGTACATCGTACAATGTGATACTACACAACCGATGGATTGACCTGGTTGCAGCAGTTTCGATGTAATATTCAACAACTTTTTTTTTGCTGTGTAGCTGCCGCTTACAAAGGAGTTCGTTTTATTTTCAAAATTTAGATCCAGAGATAACTTCGAAAGGGGCACGCTTTGCTCGGCTGGCTGATTGCGACTGGTGTTCGTTTGGGATAGATTCTCTATTCTGACCGAGCATTTCCGGGTCAGTATCCGTGATGAAAATGTGATAGGAACAAGGGGTGGTCACTCTACACACTTATGTTGCGCCAACATTTTTCTCAGTGTACCTCAGTGTGCCGCAGCTGTACCTAAAGCCCTACAGTAAAAGTATGGACGTCTGTCAAAAGTTGTTCCAATCGAACCGTCAAAATGCACCGCTTTGCTCGATTGGAACAGCTTTTTTCAGTTTTGTGGTGACAGTCGTCCATACTTTTACTGTAGGGCTTTAGCTGTACCGGCAGTGCCAAGAAGTCATTGAACTGACTTTTGATTGCTTGTGAATAATGCTTTGTTTGGCAACCCGGTATTATAACAGCACTTGTTTTTGTTTTGTTTTTCATTTGCACCGCCCGAGTATCATCCGTCGGAAAACTGGAAACCAACACCGGCCGGAATACACGTCGGACAGATGAAGGACGCACTGCTGACCCGAAACGGACCAGGAACCAGTCAACTTCATTCAACCGGTACAGCAACAGGGCGCAGTGATGATGGTCTACGGACTCAATAACAACACAGTCTGAGCCAACACCGATAAGCTGTCCAATCTGTTCTGCCTGTATGGAAATGTTGTCAGGATCTCGGTCAGGATAAAGTTCCTGAAGACCAATGAGGGTACCGCCATGGTCCAGATGGTAGACTGGACACCCGTATGCCGTCCGAGGGTCTACTGCTGACTGCATTCACCACCAAGGACTGCCACCCGTCGCAAGTGCGAATGTTCCCGCTGAAATCGGAAGCTCCTCCTCCAGCCCGAATAGAAATTGTAATGTAGAAAACATCAGCAGACATCTTCAATACATTAAATTTTAACGTGTATTGCTGTACCCTTAATGTATTCAGACTTCAGTGTGACGTCCAAGTACATAAAAATACATTGGCCTCAAACGTTACATCAGAATCAAACGTCTTGACGATGTAAAATTTGACATCAGAATACATCCAATGACAACAGAACCTAACGTTACATTAGAATCAAAATTCATCACGATGTAATTTATTGCACGCATAAAACATCAGAATACATCCAATGACAACAGAACCTAACGTTACATTAGAATCAAACTTCATCACGATGTAATTTGTTGCACGCATAAAACATCAGAATACATCCAATGACAACAGAACCAAACGTTACATTAGAATCAAACTTCATCACGATGTAATTTGTTGCATGGATAAAACATCAGAATACATCCAATGACAACAGAACCTAACGTTACATTAGAATCAAAGTTCATCACGATGTAAATTGTTGCACGCATAAAACATTAGAATACATCCCATGACACAACAATAAAAAGTGGCTTGCAGTGCAGTGATGCCTCCTATGCATAGTTTTGTGACATTATTAATTGCAAATAAAATTGAACTCTTTAGAAGAGTGGAGACGCTAATAAAAGTGCACTTAGACGTTGTATCGTCTTGACGCCTTCTACGCACTTATTATTCATTCACCAAGGAATAAGTGCGATTAAGCCACAACAACAATTTAACGTAAAACCGCACTTTTATTAGTGTTTCCGCATTCATAATTTCATAAATGTGCCCAATGCGCAATTCTCGGCGCAATCATATAAAATAGCACATTGCGATTACAAGGTAGAGCTTACCATCATTAACTCTTGCACGACTGACATAGCCTCAAATCACTGAAGGAAATTTTGGCATGCCCTGTGGGCAATGTTTATTTGTATGTAAAACAAATGCCCTGGTGACGTTACAGTGCAAGAGTTAATTAGTGTTTTAATTGATTATTATCGTTTCAATTGAAACCCGATTTTACTCTTGTTCTATACGTTAAACATAACGTCGGCCAAAGAGATTGCTAAAGTATGATTGTGTCAGTGATTTGTTTTCATCGGGAAAATTTTCTGCTATGAAGTTTTTTTTCCCGATGAAAACATTTTGCGTATACGTATACGTGACGTAGTGTGCGTACGATAAACGTCAGCAATCTCTATAGTGTGCTGTATACCCCATCAGTGTACGAATACAGCACACTATGTCCGACGTTATGTTTAACGTATACAGAACGTTTTCAACGAGGTTTTCATTTGAAACGATAATATTAATTCCAAGGCAAACGAAGAAAATCATCTGGCCACCCTGCATGCATATGGTTATAGTCCATTCCTCGGTCCATTCTATGCGCTCGAGTATTGATGGTCCGAATGTGAGGATAACAATAACAAACCAGCATATCTGGCTGAAGCGAAAGTGAGGATAACAAACTTCGCACTTGAAAATGGGATTGCGCAAGTGTGCGTGTTATGAACGACAGAAAGGTCATTGTCGTTCTCATTTTTGAAGTAAAGCTCTATACATCGCTGCTGCATTAGCGTATACCAAAATTATTCAGGGTGTAGGTGTCAGATGGACGTTCCATTACAAACAACTGATGTTGACCTGTCAATAACTCGCGTTATTTGGCGTTTATTAGCTGAATCGCAAAAAGAAAACTAGAGTCCCTGAGGTCCTTCACGGTGTTTCGCAAAAACCCATTAATGGGTATAAAAACACACATTTCCGCTAAAAGTGCTCCTCTTCATTTAATGGGTAAACTATGGTTTACTCATTAATGGGTAAAAGGGGGATATGTCAATAGATGGGTGTTTTTTACCCATCTTCTTAAATTGTGTTTTTCGTAAAATGGGTAAAAAAAAATACCCATTTCTTCAAATGGAGGATGCTGGTGCTGGGTTATTTGTCCTCGTTGATACAAAAAACTTTCAAATATTTACATTGAAAATAAATGCAGTTGTAGCGAAAAAAAAAATTACACGAGATATTACAATACCATATTGGATAAAACTGAATAGACTTATCCGTAAGCCTCTCCAATGTTTCGGAACCTAACCTTTTCCGGAGATCGTCCATTTTTGCTAAAAAAAAAAGCGGACAGAAACTGTTTGCATTCCTTAATGGTCGGTGACGGAATGAGACGATAAAATTTCCAAGTGTTTTTTCACCCATTAGTGGGTAAAAAATATACCCATTATGCAATCGTGAACTGATTCATAAAATGGGTATTTTTTCACCCATTTTATGATTTCCAAATTCCCCCATTTTTTGACAGCTGCATACATGGTTTGAAAATGGGTATTTTTTTTACCCATAAATGGGTTTTCAAGAAACACCGTGTTGCGCATGCAAAGTTTGTTTTGTCCGAGTCAGCACTACACGGCAAATGAGAACACCCAAATTTGAGTTTAGTTCACTCATAAATCGCAAAAAGTACAGGAACTCAGTTTTGAGTTAATTTCCCTCTGTTTTTCCAGGTTTTCCAGGTTTTTCCAGGAAAAATTTTCCGAAAATAAGAAAAGTAAAGATTGGATTCTGTGGATTTTCGTCAATCCTAATTTTCTGGAAGATTTTTGAGGTTTTCCACAGGAAAACATAAGGCAAATCTCGAGGCAAATTTACTCATCGTTGCGTTCCTGCACTTTTTTTTTTGATTTTGAGTACACTGTATTCAAATTTGCGTCGATCACATTGGCCGTGTTTTCGCAGTGTGTGTTGTTTTGGCAAATTAGTCCGGGAAAGTGGTGCGTAAATCAGCAAGGCTGTTTTTCAGGTAAGTAAATGTGAATTAATGTACCTATTTAATGTAATTATGTTTTTTTTTTAGAAAAGTGCACCAGTCCGAAGCCGGATCCTGGAAGTCCGACGCTGGAACCCGGCGGGGAGTACGAAGCCGGATCTCTGCAGGTTAGTGCATGTGTTTTTTCATGGACGAATAAATAAATAAATCCGGAGAACTTTGAGATTAGGGCGTAATTGCTTTTGTAAACAAACACGTCAATCGCCAATTTCTCGCAAATTAAAGCTCAATCTAAAAAATTAACGGCAGAAACAGGTAGAGAAATGATTCCTTTATCATTTAGTATGGTTTGTTCGCGATAATAAGTTTCAATTTACGATTAATCGGTGATAGACGTGTTTGTTTACAAAAGCAATTACGTCCAAATCTCAAAGTTCTCCGGAAATACTAAATACTAAGTGGAAGTGGACCCCGTTGGAAATCCGATGACGGATCCCAATGATGGGTTCCGTAATCGGATCCCGATAACGGGTTCCGTAGACGGATCCCGATAACGGGTTCCGTAGACGGATCCCGATGACGGGTTCCATAGACAGATCCCGATGGGGAAACCGAATACGGATCCCGATGGGGAAACCGAATACGAGTCCGGATTGGGATTCCGTAAAAGGATCTCGATGGGAAAACCGAATACGGATCCCGATGGGGAAACCGAATACGGATCCCGATGGGGAAACCGAATACGGATCCCGATGGGGAAACCGAATACGGATCCCGATGGGGAAACCGAATACGGATCCCGATGGGGAAACCGAATACGGATCCCGATGGGGAAACCGAATAAGGATCCCGATGAGGAAACCGAATACAAATCCCGATGGGGAAACCGAATACG